TGCAATATAGTTATGTCGAGAAAAGCTGAGTGGGATCCGCAATCTATAAAACCTAGTCTAAAGGGGGTGCCCACGTACAGATAGATTCAGCACGTGAGAGTATTCATGGCCACCAATTCCGGCAGTGTCACCATCACCGTCGCCACCATCCCACCAATTGGTGGTGGCTCTTCCGTTTATGGAATGTTTGTCTGTTGTGGGATGAGTTTGAATCCTTTTGCTTCTTCAGTCCGAATAAGTTACTTCCCAGTTCCCACAAGTCAAAATTCCTCGTTCATCTCGGATCAGGATCATGTGGAGGTGACATTTCTTAGTGCAATCTTGGACGAGTGCTTCCTATTTCGGCACGTAACCTGTAATTAACGAAGACAACCTAAATTTTGGTCAACCCTCTCTCCTAATCTGGCCATATGTGGGATTGTTTGGTCCTCACAAGTACAAGGGCAACACCGACATGACCATGTACAAAATTGTCATTATTCATAAAAGCTAAGGTACTTTGTACTATTCCATTATTTCCATGACCTTATAACTTCGCCAATCAAGGAAAAGAATAGCTGCTCCTTCATTGTACTTGCTAGAATTTCAAGTTTGCATCATGAACGTTTAGGGGTTGACCAAATAATAGCAAAAAAAAGAGAGTTGACCATGATAGCCAACCATGGAAATGATTAGTTGGTGAACAGTATGGGATGTAATAAAATGGACTGATGTGAAAACTCCGACGGAATATAGATCGAATGTAGCAAGTGAGAGAAAAAGAGTGGAAAATCGAATTAGCTAATAGCTAGGTGTCTTGGTAGGAAGTAGGAACCACATGTTCCATTCAAACCCAAACATAAATAAAGGCTTTTGATTTTTTCTCTATAGCAGATGAAATTTTCGCTTTAACAAAGTATATATTATGTTTCGAACGATTTAAAATCAATATACAACATCCTAAGTTCTATAGTGATTGGGAAAGACCCTCTTAAGTGATTCATAAGTTAATACCCACATCCAAGGGTCACCACCTTGTGTGTTACTCCGAGTATTTCTTGCACGCTTGGCCCATGTGGATCAAACAAGGTTATTACAGAGGATATTAAAGCAAGATCTCCTCTAGTTGATGCATATGTGGCTCTTGGACAGACTTGGCCCATACCCAATCCAATGAGGGCAAGGGTGATCATTGGCAAGAGGGCTCCGACAATGTCCTCGCAGGCATCTAGGATGATAGAGGAGCATGAATTGACTGAATAATACATCAAATATGGGGAGTATCACAAGGCGGTAAAAGCCAACACTAACGAGAACGTCAATTCTCTAAGTTTGAGAGTTTACGACATTATGAAGTCCTACATCAGTTGGGAAGAGACCCTGTCGAGTGATCGATTCATTAAACAACAGCTACCCCCAAAATGTTTACTATCTTGTGATTATTTAGAGTAGTCCTTTTTAGCGCTTGATCTATGTGGAACGGTTCGGATTTTTACAAGCTTTGAATAATTTATTGGTCATTTGTGCATTTTACGTGAAAAACGAAGTAAGCTTAGGATTTAAAAGGATAAAGGAGTTGTCTCCAGCTTTCTTTTTTTATGGTTTTTTTAATTGTTACTAACCACTATGCACTAGAAGTGCGCATTATACATATGTATCTAATCGAACTTCATCCCTAATTACTCAACCCTGCTCCCAACTTTTCTGTTAACAAGTCAAAAATTAATCTCTATTTAGGTATTTACCTGATGATTCTAGGAGTTGCTACATAAATAACTTTCTAATGAGGCAAGGAGATAACATGTTTTTCATGTAGATTATGCAATTTGGAACATCGAAGGCTCGTAGAAAAAGCTGCGGCCCGATTCATCATTAGAGATTCGCCCACGTACTTTTCGCAAGTAGTTGTAAAACGTGATTTAACATTGACAATCGAAATGCGGTTCATTGTACGACAGAAGAGAAAGAAAATCAGTAGACATCTAGGAAAAGTTTGAACTTGCATGTCTTGAACATTGAATTGTACATTGTTGGCTAGAAGAAACGTCGGAGTTGTATAGGGGACGTATCTTGCTAGGGTTGAACTTTATCAACCACGAGGCTGTATTCCCAAATGGCAATAACCCTAGCTGGTCATGACTCAGTTACTCCATATCAAATGCTTTTGGAGTCGATCCGATCCTTTGACCCAGAATATTCGAACCGTGTTCACCAGATCAGCGTTGACATTTTCAACTTCTGTTGGGTCAAAACTCAGAAGGGTTGAAGGAGCAACACCATGCTAATGGAAGGATCGAGGTGCTGATGGTCGCAATAGTAGTGAAAGGGAATCCAAAGTGATAAGAAAGAAAGATTAAAAGAGAATGGTATTTATTCTCTTATAATGGTGTATATAACAATGTACATGAGAAGCCTTTATATAGGCTTAGAGGAGTAAAGGAGCCTAGCATTCTTCCTATGTGGGACCAACGAGAAAGAAGAGATGTAAAGGAAAACCTACAAAACTATACAACATGTTCTAACACCGCCCCTCAAACTCAAGGTGGATCAAATAACGAGAGTTTGGAAAGAAGAAATTTAAATCGTTGTGATGTAAGAGCCTTCGTAAAACAATCGGCAAGTTGATTCTCAGTTCCAACAAAAGGAAGTGAAATAGTACGAGCTTGGAGATGATGACGAGTCAGATGACAATCGATCTCAATATGTTTGGTACGCTCATGAAAGACTGGATTTGCACCGATATGAATGGCACTCTTGTTGTCACAATGCAGAGGAGTAGGATCCAGAAGTGAAACTCCCATATCAGCAAGTAAGCGGCGAAGCCAAACAATCTCAACAGTAGTGTCGGCCATAGCACGATACTCGGACTCTGTAGAGGAGCGTGAGACAATATGTTGTTTCTTGGAACGCCAAGAAATAAGTGAATCGCCAAGAAAAATGCAATAACCAGTGATAGATTTGCGATCAGTGACATTGGAAGCCCAATCAGCATCAGAATAGGCACGCAACTTGAGAGCAGAAGAGGATGGTAGAAATAAGTAACGCGATAAAGTGCCTCGAAGATAGCGCAGAATCCTTAGAACAGCCGCATAATGAGTTGTTCGAGGAGCAGCAACAAACTGACTGACAACATGAACAGCATAGGCGATGTCGGGTCGGGAGATAGTAAGATAAATAAGACTGCCAACCAAGGTCCGATAGCGGGTGACATCAGAAAGAGGTTCTCCATCATCTGGGCAAAACTTTTGATTTAGCTCAATAGGAGTGGCAGCAGTACGTGAATCTGATAGAGCAGCCCTGGACAGAATATCAGCGGTATATTTCTGCTGAGAAATGAGAATACCACGTGAACTGCGAGCAATCTCAAGCCCAAGAAAATAGCGCAGTGGTCCTAGATCCTTCATGGCAAAATGTTGCTGAAGGTGCCGCTTGGTATGCTCAATATGGTCACGATCATCTCCGGTGATGACCATATCATCAACATAAAGAAGCAGAATAGTGCAGCCTGAAGAAGAGGTATGAACAAACATAGCATGATCAGCCTCACTTTGAATGAAACCAGCAGACTGAATAGCATCACTGAACTTCTCAAACCAAGCACGAGGGGCCTGTTTGAGACCATAAAGAGCCCGTCGCAAGCGGCAAACCTGTCCAGAGGTATGAGCAAGACCAGGCGGAGGTTGCATAAAGATATCTTCCTGAAGATCACCATGAAGAAAAGCATTCTTCACATCAAGCTGAAAGAGAGGCCAACTGCGAATTGAAGCAACAGCTAATAAAGCACGGACATATGTCATCTTTGCTACGGGAGCAAAGGTCTCCTCATAGTCGATACCATATTCTTGCGAGAAACCTTGAGCAACCAGACGAGCTTTGTAACGCTCAATACTGCCATCAGAACAAGTCTTAATCTTATATATCCATCGGCAAAATACGAGGGAGCGACCTGGAGGAAGAGGCACAAGCTCCCAAGTACCAGTACTCTCCAAAGCCGAGAGTTCCTCAGACATAGCCTGGCGCCATTCTACATGCTGAACTGCCTCGCGATAACTATTAGGTTCTTGTACAGCATGAACAGCAGCTAAAAAGGATCCAAACTCAGTAGAATAAGAAGTAGCAGCAACATACCGGGCAGGTGGACGCCGATCTCGAGGAGGATTACGGCGTGGCTCTAGTTGTGCAGAATTGTCGAGGGCAGATACAGCAGGAGGTGCAGCACAAGGGATAGGTGAAGATGGAGAAGCTGGCAATATATCTAGATCCGATGTAGAAAAGGGACTAGAAGGATCAGGTAGAGAATCAACAGGAAAATCCATAAATGGAACAGGAGACGAAACATGAGGTGTAGTATTTGTTGAAAAGAAAGGGATGTGTTCATGAAACGTAACATCACGAGAAATACGTACACGTCGCGCATTTGGGTCATAACAACGATAACCTTTGTGCTCAGTGCTGTAACCCAAGAATGCACATGGGATAGAGTGGGCGGTAAGCTTTGTACGTTCAATGAATGGAAGAATGACAAAACAAGTACATCCAAAAACTCGAAGATGATTATAGCTAGGAGGTCGAGAGTAGAGACGCTGAAACGGGGTGTCTTGATGGAGAACAGATGAGGGTAGGCGATTAATTAGATGAACAGCCGTGAGAAGAGCCTCAGCCCAGAACTCAGTGGGAACGGATGTGCCAAGTAAGAGAGCTCGAGTGGTCTCTAGAATATGACGGTACTTGCGTTCAGCAACTCCATTTTGAGCTGGAACCTCAGGACAAGATAACTGAGGAAGTGTATCATCACTAGCTAAGAGGGAACGAAAGACACCAGAGAGATATTCTCCCCCTGAATTTGAACGGAAAACTTTAATTTTTGTATTAAATTGTGTGGAAACCATGGAAGTAAAAGACTGATAGATGGTAAAGAAATCACTACGTTGACGCATAAGATAGACCCATGTATAACGAGAATAATCATTAATAAAAGATACATAATATTTGAAACCACTTTTGAAAAAGAGCGGGGCAGGACCCCAAACATCAGAATGAACAAGATCAAAGATCGCACTAGTTCTAGAGTTACTAACAGGAAAAGGCTTAGCAGATTGCTTGGCCAAAGGGCAGATAGAACATGGAGGAAGACTACCAGAAGAAATAGGACCCAAAACACCTTGTTGGTGAAGGACGGTGAGACGAGAAGACGGAATATGTCCAAGACGCTGATGCCACCGAACAAGATCGAGGGTAGCCAACACAGGATGAGGAAGAGAGGAAGTTGGAAGATGGAGATGTTGCATAATATAAAGTCCATCCCGTCTACTGCCCCTGCCAATCATCTTGCCACTCAAACGATCCTGCACAAAGCAAGAGCTATTTGTAAAGCTTACAGTACATCCAGCATCGGTGAGTTGTCCAACAGATAATAAATTGAGAGCCAAAGAGGGAACATGTAACACATCAGGGACATTGAAATCTTCAGAGACGGTAAGAGTACCCTGTCGGGTAGCTAGTAGAGGAGAACTATTAGCAGTAAAGAAATGTGCTGGTTGCTTGAGCTCAGAGAGCTTAGTGAGAAAAACAGCGGAAGTAGACATATGTCTAGCAGCTCCTGAGTCAAATACGCAAGTAGTAGAAATATCACCTAAAGGTGGAGTAGCTGCAGCGGTGCTTCCAGCAGATGAGAGAGTTGTAGAAGTACCAGAATCGGGAAAAGACTTGGGCAGAGAAGGACTCAAACGGGCAAGTTGGGCCTCAAGAGCAGCAATACGGTCATCCGTAGAGGGAGAAACCAGAGTAATAGGTTGAGAGATTGGAGATGCGGTAGTGACTCGTGGTGATGCAGAAAGGCATGAAGCATTCCTCTTCTTCCAACAATGTGACTCGTCATGACCAGGACGATGACAATACATACATGAAAGGCGGCGAGGACCACGAGTAGGCGAAGGACGTGGTGGAGCAGCCAAAACTGTAGGCGGAACACGTGGTGGAGCAGCCAAAATAGCAGTTGAATCAGAAACTGCCGAGGAGGAAAGAAGACCAAGACGAGTTTCCTCAGACTGTAATTCTTTGACAGCGTCAAGGAGGGATGGTCTTGGAGAGCGGTGAAGAAGTTGGCTGCGAACACCTTCATAGGGAGAGCCGAGCTTCATAAGAAAAGAATGTAGACGGTGCCTATCTTGAGTCTGAAGTCGAGTAGATGGACACCGAGTACAGTTCAGGCATGATGGGCAGAGAATAGGAGCAAGAATATCCAATTGACTCCAAAGTGAGTGCATGTAATTGTAGAAATCTCGAATAGAGCGAGACCCTTGCGTAGCACTGTAAACTTCTTGCTCCAACTGATAAACTCGAATGTCCCCTGTCTGGGTGAACATCTCGGCAAGCTGATCACATAAACTTTTCGCCTCAACAACATTAGAAAATTGTGGGCGAAGAGCAGGATCAATGGAACCAAAAATGATAGCCCATGCCTTCCGATCAACAACATTCTATGCTCGAATTTCAGCGGCACGTTTCGCAACTTCATCAGATGATTCACTTTTAAGAGCACCAGGACAAGGACAAAGTCCCTCAACATGCTCAAACAAGTCGCGGTAAACAAGTGCTGCCATTGCTGATGGTTTCCAAAGAGAATAGTTTGAACCATCGAGTTTGACGTCAATACGGTCACTAGAATCACCCATGACGACAGAAAAAGAAATCACTAGCAAAGCTAGAAATATGGATTGAGGTGATCGAAAGGATCGAGAAAGAAGAAGCGCAGATTAGAACGAGCAAGGATGATGGCCAAAAAGCCCTAAACTCATTATCTTAATTTCTGATGCGGAAGATCCAATTTATGGCAACCACAGAGCATACTTTAAAAAAAAATAATGAGCTCATTGTCTTAATTTCTGATGCGGAAGATCCAATTGATGGCAACCGTAGAGCATACTCTTCAAGACAATGATCTTGGCTTTGATACCATGATAAGAAAGAAAGATTAAAAGAGAATGGTATTTATTCTCTTATAATGGTGTATATAACAATGTACATGAGAAGCCTTTATATAGGCTTAGAGGAGTAAAGGAGCCTAGCATTCTTCCTACGTGGGATCAAAGAAAAAGAAGAGATGTAAAGGAAAACCTACAAAACTATACAACATGTTCTAACACAAAGGAACATAAAAAAATCAGCACATGCATACATCCGCCGGTGCCTCCACTTGATTTGGTCGGCAAACGCTGGCTAATCTCAGAATTATGTAATTTCAAAAGATAAAGAACACAAGGCGCACAGCCACGCAATAGTTCTTGAGAGAGAAAGTCAAAGGGAGGAGGCAGCATGCACGTTGCTTTCCTCCGCTCCTTCTCTCTCGTTACCCTTTTGCTGCACTTTGCCCTCTTATTCATTCACGACCAGGTAATTCAGAGTTGGCCATTCTTGAGCCTTTCAATACCGTTGAAAAGTCCTCTCTCTCTCTCTCTCTCTCTCTCTCTCTATCTCTTCAACGTTTAATTTCCCGTGTTTTGTTTTGACTTTCCTCTTTTGAATTGCCTGAGCTTCCCCCTTGATCTATATAACCAAGCCAATCCAAACAAATTCACAATCTTCTCAGCTATCATTTGTCTGCTCTCTCATCACAAGAGTTCGTCAATCATCGCACTCGAATTCAATTACCCTTGGAGTCGGCATCGAGATTGCATCATCAGCTCATCGATCCGGCCACATCACGCCACGAGCGAATGGACAACAACGAAGTGGAAGTGCCTCCATTCTTCCTCTGCCCCATCTCGCTGGAGATCATGAGAGATCCAGTCACCGTCTCGATGGGGATAACCTATGACCGAGAGAGCATAGAGACATGGCTGTCGACGTCCAAAAACAGCTTGTGCCCCGTCACCAAACAGCTGATCTCCGATACGGACCTGACCCCGAACCACACCCTCCGCCGCCTGATCCAATCGTGGTGCACCCTCAACTCGTCGAATGGCATCGAGCGGATCCCAACCCCCAGGGCTCCCATCAGCAAAGCCCAGATCACTGAGATCCTGCGAGATGCCAAGAAGCCTCCTCTCCAGCAGAAGTGTCTTAGGCGGCTGAGATCTATCGCTTCTGGTAATACTTCAGCCAAGCGTTGCATGGAACCCGCCGGCGCCGTCGAGTTCCTGGCCTCAGTGATAAACACCACCTCGCAAGATCAGTCATCGGCGTCGGAAGAGGGGTCACTACTTGACATCAAATCACCAAGTGACGACGCGTTGTGCATCCTCTACCATCTCCAGCTCTCTGTGCCGGGCCTCAAGAGCCTTGTGGCCAAAGACAGTGAGTTCACTGAGTCGCTCACGCTCGTCATGAAGCGTGGGCCTTACGAGTCGAGGGCATATGCAGTGCTGCTGCTCAAGTTGATGTTTGAGGTTGCCGAGCCGATGCAGATCATCACCCTGAAGCAGGAGTTTTTCGCCGAGGCGGTCCAAGTCCTGCACGACCAGATCTCTCAGCAGGCCACCAACGCCACGCTGAAGCTACTGATAAACCTATGCCCTTGGGGCCGAAACAGGATAAAAGCCATCGAATCTGGGGCAGTCTCGGTATTGATCGAGCTGCTTCTCGATTGTTCTGACCGTAGGACCAGCGAATTAATATTGATGTTGTTGGAGATGCTGTGCCAATGCGCCGAGGGGAGATCGGAGCTGCTAACGCATGGGGCGGGCATCGCAGTTGTGTCGAAGAAGATACTTAGGGTTTCGCAGGTGGCTAGCGAGAAGGCGGTCCGAATTCTGCTCTCTGTCTCCAAGTTCTCGGCAACAGGAAGCGTGGCGCAAGAGATGTTGCAGTTGGGCGTCGCAGCGAAGCTGTTTTTGGTTCTGCAAGTGGACTGTGGGAGGAAGATCAAAGAAAAGGCGATTGAGATACTGAAATTGCATGCCAGGGTTTGGAAGCACTCTCCTTGTATACCCTCCAATTTTCTCTCTTCATACCCATCTTGAAAATGGACCACTTGTTGTACCATATCGATCTTGATTAAGGCAAGATCTTCGACGATATTTCAATGCGACGTGTTCTCCTAATTGGAGGAACAAAAGATAGTGTTGAACAATGTTCCAACTTTCTCGGAGGTGAACCACCAAGGAAAGCTAATGGATTATTAAACGTAATGCTTAGCACCGGCTTTTTCAAGCCCTACTAATCGCAACTTAATACTCAATTTAAACTTGCAATTTATTTTTCCTTTTAGAGCCATTACTAATGAGTTATGGATTGATTAGACACCCAAGTAAAATGCGGGATTACATTTTAATTTTACGAATAAGAGATTCATTGATTCAGGAACTTGGTTACGCTAGAGTAATCTAATGCTCTACCTTTTCTCTTTATTTCAAATATTTTGTTGCATGCAATCTTGCTCATTTTTAATCATAGGTCACTAACATATGAGCGGTGATCATTTAGGGGTGCAATAATAAAAATAACATCTAATAATCAAAGTAGTAAATAGATTGCAGAAGATTTTAAGAATCTGATTCGCTAAGCAAGCAAATTGTATCACCATATTTATCACCACGAGATTTCTGCATACTATTACTTTGAAAAATATGCAGAAGGAATGCATGAATGTTATGCATGGCATATGCATGAATCAATAATTAACTTTAGATTTTTTATTTTCTTGTTTAATCAACATGCATGACATAAGAAAAATAAAAATAAACCTTAACATTCTATATGACAGAAATCGATTTTGCATGCACTAATTATATGACTAAATTACATGCAAGAATAATACAGCTATATGATATGTGTGAGGAATTCTAAATGATATGTTATGGAATTAATTTTAAGTATTATCTATGTGAGGTATCGATTAAAATTATTGACATGGACCTACTAAATGACATGCGATGTGCAGTTTATATAAATTGATATTCCTAACTAAAGCAATCTAAATGATATGATCTAATTCAATTTTTGTTCTTTTCCTTTTATTAATCAACGATGGACAAATGACTCTAAAAGTCTACAAATTACATGGTTATGCATTAATTCCTACTCATGCATGAAATGATTTAGCATTGATAACCTAGGTTACTACATGATTAATAAAAAAACGCAATCTAAGTTCTAGATGCAAGATAACATATTTTAACATGCATGCTTTCTATCTAAGCATGTATGAGTGATCTATGGAAATCATGAACTTATTCTATAATGAAAACTATATGAAATGCAATTTTTTATTTTACTTTATTAAAACAGAAAATTCGACTCCTAAGTCTCCAATATGGCCTAGTGAAATTACCATTAATTATTATACTATGTGCAACGCGAAAGATGCATGTAATGCAATTAAATGGACTTAATTAACTATATGACTTAATTACTAGAAATCAACTCTAAGAAAGTATGATTTTCCAAATTTCTTATATTATCAGTCATGCGTGCTGTGAGACTAGTCAATCTTAGATCTTCATGCAACATAAATGATTCTGATGACATTTTTTTTATTTTTTTTATTAATGAATGCAAACTAAAAATTATCCTAAGTCTATATGGATTCTAAAATTACTATGCATGGTCCAAAAGCCTAAGCCATGAATATGCATAGAATAATGGCCTATATTCTATATGCACGTGTGATCTATAATAAATGATATGCATGTGGTTATTAAAAAATATTTATCATGAAGCATCAAATTTCATTTGATCATGCACAAAGATCATGTATTATATTCTATATGAGGCACTGTAAAGGACCCGACCTTTAGGCTCAAAGGTCCGGCGCTCCAATAGATCTTGGTTAATGCAATGGAAATAATCAAAGATAAGTCGAAATAATCTAAAGTTTCTAGACTATACAACACGCATTTGAAACCATAATGCAAGACAAGAACTTGCCACATAAGGTATGCAAACCTTAAACTTACCTTAATTAGGGATAACCAAGGGCCATCAAAAGAGGTAACGGCAAAGAGACAATGCTAGGATGGACGTAGGACGCCGGTGGCGGTGGGGAGGATGCCGGTGAAGCTTGGGCAGGCGGTGGACGTGGGTGCTCTCGGTGATGACTAGGCGAACGCCGGCTTAGTCAATGGACGCTTCAAGGTTACAGGCGTAGGACGTGTGATTGGGGAAATTGGACTCTTTTCACGTTCAAATTTCAGCTATAAAATTCGCTTATCCTTGACCAGAACTCCGCCTTTTGAATTTCACCGCTTGCCCTCTTTCTTTGACTTTTCCTTTGTTGGTGTTGTCTTCAGCCCTACACTCCACTTAACATTCAATCTAAATCACCATAACTTGCGCCACGAAGATTGCCCCCACATTGGCCGAATTTATTGGCTTTCCTTTCTTGGAAGTAAAACAAGTTCTCGCATTCTTGAAATCAGGTCATAGCTCCAGCATATAATACGGTTTCCAAATTCTTGGAGTGTCCATTCCACTGTCTTGAAGTTCCAAGAAAGTTGGAAACTCAATTTAATGCCCATTGCACGGGTTGGCCCATTCGTCATGTTTACCTTCAATCCCCTATAACATGCTTCATCATGAAATGTAATGCAAATGCAAATTAATAATGTTTTTGTTTAACGGTCGGGTTGATTACTAATTTTTCTTTGCAATGAATGGCTAAACGCATAGCCAAAATTTAGATGTCAACAAACAAAATGATCGAGTATGCTTGAGAAGTTTCTGATCCGTCGGGCTGCTTCAGCTCGATGGCAGAAGGTACAGTCCAAGTAGAGGGCAACAACAAGCCTCGAGTGCATGAGATTGTTCACAAATACAACGAATCATAGCTTAGGGGAGTGGTTCCAAGTTTCGTCCAAGTTTCACCTGAAACGTACCCGTTGGAACTGGTTCCCTATTTTTTGGAACTTGAAACCTACCCTGTATACATTGAAACCTGGAACCTATCCTATCACAGGTTCCCCAAGTTTTAGGGCAAAAGTACACCAAAAGTGCCATAACTTGTGTACGGCGATCACTTTGGGGCCATAACTTTTTTTCGGATCACTTTGGTGCCAAGTCGGAGGAAAAGAGATCACTTTAGTGCCAATTTGGCCGGAAATCCAACGTGGCATTTTTTATTAATTTTTGACGGCTACGTGGCTCGCCGGAGGATGAGTTAGCGTGTGCAGTCAGCATTTTTTATTTTAAATAATTTTTTTCCTTTTTTTTTCCCCTTCTTTCCTTTTTCTTTTCTTTTCTTTTTTTTTCTCCCCTCGCCGGCCTGTTATCGGTGGCCGGGCCGGTTACTGGCGAAGCCCGGGCCGGCTGGGCGAGAGCGGCCTTGCCCATGGTCGGCGAGGGGCGGCCTCGCTAGATCTGGGCGAGGCGACCCTCGCCGGCGATAGGCGAGGCCGCCCCTCGCCGGCTCAAGCGAGGGCTGCCCTCGCCGGATCAGGCGAGGGCGACCCTCACCGGCGTCGGGCGAGGGAAGCCTTCGCCTGGGCGGGTGAGGGTCGCCCACGCCCGACGCCGGCGAGGATCGCCCTCGCCGGATCTAGTGAGGGCGACCCTCGCCGGCGTCGGGCGAGGGATGCCCTCGCTGGGCGGGCAAGGGTCGCCCTCTCCCGAGTCGGGCGTGGGCGACCTCGCCCGCCCGGCGAGGGCTTCCTCGCCCGACGCCGGATCTGCGAGGGCGACCCTCACCAGCTGCCGGGCGACCCTCGCCGGCGTCGGGCGAGGGAAGCCCTCGCCCGGGCGGGCAAGGGTCGCCGTCGCCCTGAGTCGGGCATGAGCAACCCTCGCCCGCCCGGGCGAGGGCTTCCTCGCTCGCCCGGGCGAGGTCTTCCTCGCCCGACGCCGGCGAGGGTCGTCTCGCGGATCCGGCGAGGGTCGCCGGCGAGGGTCGCTCGCCCGGATCCGGCGAGGCCGCCTCGCCGGCCATGGGCAAGGCTGCCCTCGCCCAGCCCTTCCCGGGCTTCGCCGGTGGCCGGCCGGCCGGAGAGGGGAGAAAAGAAAAAAAGAAAAGAAAAAGGAAAGAAGAGGAAAAAAATTATTTAAAATAAAAAATGCTGACTGTACATGCTGGAAAAAATTATTTAAAATAAAAAATGCTGATTGTACACGCTGACTCATCCTCCGGCGAGCCACGTAGGCGTCAAAAATTAATAAAAAAATGCCACGTCGGATTTCCGGCTAAATTGGCACTAAAGTGATCTCTTTTCCTCCGACTTGGCACCAAAGGGATCCGAAAAACAGTTATGGCACCAAAGTGATCGCCGTACACAAGTTATGACACTTCTGGTGTACTTTTGCCCAAGTTTTAGGGTCTTCAGGAAACTGGCCAATTTCCTTTTTTTAGTTTCATTTTTAGTTAAGCAAAATAAAAGTGAACACAACGACAAAAATGAAAATTTCCCATTTTTCAATAGCAATAATCCATAAAAGATGAACACGTAAAATAAAACAAACAATAAAAAGTTCAAAACACATAACATAAAACCTAAATAGTAGAACTTCATCGCCACCCTATCCAATAAAGACGCACTTCTGGGACTTAGCATCAAGCTTCTTCCTATCCTCCCTATCAATCATCGCATATGCAATGCAACTAAAAACTTTTAAATACAAATAATTAATTTTTTTACCTGACCATTGCTCTTGCGGTATTTCTCCATCCAGCGCACTAGATGGACTCCCATTAATCAGATAAACAGCTGCATCAATTGTTGCAGCCCATAAGTGTAGCGGAAGACCCGCGTGTAGCCTCATGCATCTTGCGCGCTCGAAAATAGTCCTGTTCACCCTCTCTGCTACACCGTTCTCTTGAGGAGTTCCAGGAACAGTTTTCAACCCGTGTTTGCCTTCCCGGCTCAAGTATTTTGCAAATTCCTTACTCGTGTATTCACCACCATTATCAGACTTTAGAGCTTTAATCTGATAACCTGTCTCTTTTTCTACCATGGTCTTCCACATTTTGAATATCCCGAATACTTTTGATTTTTCTCTGAGAGCATAGACCCAAGTCTTCCTTGTCGCATCATCAATGAATGTGACAAAATATCTCTTACCACCATAAGAGAGTTCCTGAGCTGATCCCCACAC